CCTACGGAAGTAGATTGCCCAAACTTCCTTCCAAGGAGTAGCTGGTGGGTTTGAAGCACTAGCCATCTGGTTAGCAGTTAAGTGCCTTAGGCACTACGCTACCAGTGCTCCCTACTAACTAGTAGCTATTGTTATTTATTTTATGTTGTTCCAGAGGAGAGAATGAAGATCAACGGATGGATACTCTAGGAAGTCAGAGTCTGACTATATTATAATGGTTTGTGTTATTCAAAGTAAAGTAGATTGCCTAGTACAATGGTAATTTCTCTGTCCCTCGATGTGTTCAAGTGAAGGAAATAACTCAACCTGCCATGAAGACCTTAGGAGAACTTGTGGGAATTCCATGGAAGTTGAACTAGATGATCTTTTACCATAAAGTCCTTAACTGTAATCCTAGCCTTTCCAATTGCCACAAAAAAAGGGATGGAGCTTTCTTCCCTTTGGAAAGAACATAGAGCATTTAATAGAGAAAGCAATGCCAAAATAAATTAAATAAGTGCAAGTATGTGAGTTTTTCTTTCTTAAGAATAATAGAACAGAGACATTTTGTGGAAATCAACCTTCCCAGAAGATTCCTACTTCAATTCAGCCATCTTTGAATCAGAATCCCCTCTATTATAGCACTGTGGGATCCAACTCAGTGATTAGGAAACATAAGTATAACCAAACCTTGGATTTCCAGAACACCTTTCTTGTACTTAAGGAGCTCTGGTGGTGTAGTGCCTAAGGAATTTGACTGCTAACCAGGGGGCTGGTGGTTCAAAACCACCAGCCACTCCGTAGAAGGAAGACTGGGCAACGTAGTTCCATAAAGATTTACTGCCTCAGAAACCCAAAGTGGGTTGCTATGATTCAGAATCAACTCAATGGCAGTGAGTTTGGCTTTTTTTTTTTTTGTATAGATGGATGCACTCAGATAGATGTTAAAGCTGTCATCACACTGAAGTGTCTGAACCAGATGGAACCAGTTTGTGGGAGGGTCTTTTTCAAAACTCTGCTGGTACCACCGGTCTCACTGGTCTCCCAGTATCTAGATGAACAATTTTACATTCAATAAGCGTTTATAACCCAACACAACCAGATTCTTGCCTATTTAGTTTATACCAGATAGGCCTACTCAGGAAGCTTATTCAAGGTTGTATCCAAAGCAATCCATTTTAAATTAACATTTACATATCCTCATGTTTGGGAATATACTTTTGAGGCTTTATAGAAGGAGCAGTTGGATTTGGACAAAGTAAAGTATGAACTGATTTATCATTTAGCAGGCTTTTCAGCACAGATTCTTAAGACTTTAGGTTCTTTCACTAAGCAAAATAAACTAGAGACAGAAAATGTAAGCGACAGAGATGCTCTTTGGTTTGATTTCATTAGAAAATCTGAATTTATATGGGGAAAGTGAAGCTTTGCTTTAGTATTCCTAAGAGTTACCCTGTTGCGCAGTTTATATCTTAAAAAGCAGACTCTCTAGTTTAGAATTCTATATACCTAGTAATTTGCCAGTTAAGCTTTTTCAGACATTTTGCACAATTTTTAGTGGAGAGTAGTCAAGAGGAAGACAAGCTTGCAAGAAAAATTTAGCTTTTCCTTTCACTGATCAGTGAAGAATGTATGTGGAAAAAGCTAAACAACACAAAGGTTTATGCAGACTCTGCCTTGTGGCCTAGAACTTCTATTTGAAGATTTTAATGAAAAGGTTACGTGTTTGCAAATTGCTTACTTTGCATTCACAGTTGAGTTTTCAGCCAGATTTAAACTGCCAATCAAGACCCAAAAGATTTTCATCAGAAATGGTTGTGGAAAAAAGGAGAGAGGGCTTGAGAAAAAACGGCTCTTGGGAGTGACATCGTTTTTACTTTCAAATCTCAGCTCTGCTGTCTACTAGCTGTGTGGCCTTGGGAAGTCCCTAAACCTTGCTAAATTTCAGTGAGCTCTTTTGTGAAAGGAAGATGATGGTAGTATACCCTGGCAGTGATGTCACTAGGGTTGATGTTTCCCAGTGCAGTAACTCATGTTACCCCCTTGTGTACCTCTTCCCATAACAGACCATACAGAATCCTTAGAAATGTTTATTATCAATTTTAATCATAGAGTAATGTGTGATAAATATAGTTATAAATTGTTACTAATGTTTATTAGTATGCCACTGTACCCTGCTGGGCTCTTGGGATGTCTAGAAGTCTCTGGGCAGTGCCAGGCACACAGCTAACTATCAGTAAAATGCACAGATGACCAACCATAATATTTGGACAACGGTTCTCACCACCTCCCTCTTTGAACCTCCCTCCCACTCTACCAAATTGCTTCAAGCCGACTGGAATTGAGAGAATCAAGCTTTTGTTTATGTTTCATGATGCTGGCCTTATGCAGTATGGTCTTCCTCATTTTCTGCATTAGTTTCACACTTGGGGATACAATCTCCCCTCGAAATTCCCTCTCTCCTTAATGAGACAGAAAATGGATTCTCCCCAGGGGTTCAGTGGTGACCTCTCTTATGAGTTTGATTCATTTGGCTTAAACCAAATTAAAAAGTGCACAGAACATAGAAAAACTCATAAACTACTGCTCTTTTTTTTCTATTTCATCACATACTTGGTTTCTCTGGATCACCTACTACTCACAGTTTTTTGGTGCTGCTGTTTGTGTAAAATGGATCTTATAAAACTGAGAGCAAAGCAAATAAAAAAAGCAGAAAATTCAAAGTTATGTGTACTAGGGCCCAAGCCACCTCATGTTTAAGGTAGTCTTGTTTCACAGCATAAATTTACAGCCAGGACTAACAGAGGTACAATGTGTTATATTAATACACATGAAAGGAAACCACTAAGCACTCCACATGTAGGTGGGGAAGAGTTACAGCTGGTTGACCTCCTAGTGGTTTTTCTTTCTAACTGATGGGGCAGGCACAGGTCTCATTTTCGCTGTGGTTTTCCTTCTGTTCTGATTACTGATTACTGCAGTGTGCCTAATGAAGCCTCAAACATCAGGATTTCTTGAGTTTAGAGAACATAGGTCTGCATTTTAAGGGGATTACCATTCATGTGGAAGACATCTGGTGGTTCAGTGGTAGAATGCTTGCCTTCCATGTGAGAGATCCAGGTTTGAATCCTGGCCAATGCACCTCATGCATAGCCACCACAATGTCTGCTGGTGGAGGCTTAGGTGTAGCTGTGGTGCTGGACAGGTGTCAGCAGAGCTTCCAATTGAGGAAGCTAGAAAGAAAGGCCTGGTGATCTACTTCTGAAAATCAGCCAGTGAAATCCCCATTGATCACAACTGTGCATGGGGGGCCCATGAGTCCAGGGCCAAATTAGACAATGGCTGACAGCAGTAATGTGTATGTACCCAGTGGCACTTTACATGAGCTAACTCTTCTAATACTCACAACAGCCTTATAGGATCTGCGTTGTTTATCACCACTTGTTTTAGAGATGAGAAAAAGGAGGCTCAGAGATGAGAATGAAAGCAGGTGCAAAGCCAGCTCTGCCAGATGCCAAAGGTCGTGCCAAGCCCTTTGCACTACATCATGCCTGTTTCCCACTTCCAGGAATCAGTCTTTTACTTATAAATTCAAGGGAAGATTTAATAGAATTTTGGCACTTAATTATTGTTGTTCCATAAATAAAATTTTGCAACATAGCAAACTGGTTCAGATTTATAATGTGTAGCAAGATATGCTGAAGGATCAGGCTTTTTTGTTGCCTTGCTCTCAGTGGGGAGGCAAAAGTTTTCCTTCATCTTCTTTCTAATTATCCAAAACCTCTTATCTGTAGTGTCACAGTTCATAATAATTAATTGTCATGCCAGAGGCATTGTGACATGCTTGATGGAGTCATGGTGTGCTATGTATACAAAGTAATTAGCAGTCATTAGTGGTGGGGATAGAAATTTCCTAGTGGTTTTATTCAAACTTTCATTTTGTTAAGTTTATCTTTGTGTTCTTTGTGCATAAATTTAATTTAGCAAGTGAGCTTTCAGCTTAACTGTTTTATGAAGAATTGGAATATTTAAAAAAAAAAAGTCACTGCTAAATCCAATTACAAGTATGAAAAGACAGTAGTATGCCAAAGAAGATCGGGATGTCTTGAACTGGAAATTCAGAACTAGTAGTACAAATTTTGATTTCTTTCATCTGGGCTGCCCATGAGAAAGCCACTGAATCTCTGTCAATTATTTATGCTTTTTGAAGGTTATACCTGTCATCACTCTCTGCAGCAAAGATTATTGAAATAACCTTGGCTCAGAAATGCCGAAGAATTATACTAGTAACCAATAAAGAAGGAAAGCAGTTGAATTCACATAAACCTGCCTAAAAATAGACCTCTATGCTTCAGCCAATCCATATGTTTAAGCACAATAAAACTAATTTCCATGTTATTGGAGTTGATAATTAATAGCATAAGTTTAAATATTTGTGGGTTCTTTGCAAAGTGTCTTGGTAGCCACATTTTCCACTCAGACCCCTCTGGTACTAGTGTCCTTACTAAAAAGTACTTCTCAGCTTGTTGACAGGCAAACTCCACCACTGATAACACTGCCCAACCCCGAAGTCTGAAGAGGGAGAGAGAAATTCGGCTGCTGCTCTGTGCATGGGAGCTGGTACAAAGTCAGATGATGTACAGGCATCTTGAGGAGACCGAATCTTGGCAGTAGAACCTCCTGGGAGGAAATAGCCAGGGTTGAAAAGTCCCACCTCCCTACCTATCCTTTTCCACAAGCACTGAATCACTTTTCCCACCTCTCCCACCCTCATTATAATTTGGTTTTAATTGAACTGGGGCCTGACAGATCCCCAATGGTTTATACACAAGCCTAGAAGGATCAAAGAAGCAGCAGGAAATCAGGCTGCATGAAGTTAAAATAATAATGGGTGAGTTGAGAACCTCTGCTCTGTTGGACGCTACTGTTGAAGGCATAGGTAGAAGGAGGGGCAGCAGCAATAGCAGCAGAAACATGAGGCTGCTGCTGTCTGCAGGACAGAGGTCAGGTGGACAGCCTACCTGCGGGAGGATGCCCTCCTTTCAGCGGGGAAGGCAGGATTTGCACTTCATTTGCCATAGTGCGTGCCAGTGCTCTGGAGTGCCAGCTGTGGCTGCCCCACTGCACCCTGACTTTATATGGGCCAGGGGTGGGGCCCCTTCAGGGCACTGCTGAGCAGCAACAGGGCTTGTCATTCAGCTCTCTGGGAACCTGCATCTCTTTGGCAAGTTTCCTCAGAGAAGAAAACTTTCTTCTTTTTCCCTTCATCTGGGAAGGTACACATCTATAGGAAACAGGAAATACTTACTCTCTTTCACAGGGGGAAGTAGCAGAGATAATGGAGTTCAGGGAAATTCCTTTTCTCTCCCACTATTCAACTGTCAAATATATTCACAACTCTCAAATATATTCAGTACATCTACAATGTGACAGGCTCTGTGTCATACTCTGGTGTGACAGGGACAGGCAGGATAAGATCTTTGCTTTCAAGATAACCTGTAGTCTTTATGAAGAGACAATTATAAAATAAAGTACCATGTCTTTGTCCCAGTTTTTATAATTACAGGCATTATAATGATTTACTAAGAAAGTAATTGGAGATGTGCAATGTTACAGAGATTTCTGTAAAAGGATTGTGATAATTTTCTTTCTTTTCACTTTAAAAATTTTATTGATTGGAACCAGAATGTGGTTAGTTGCCGTCCAGTCAGTTCTGACTCAGAAAGACCCTGTGTACAACAGAACCAAACACTGCCCAGCCCTGCACTGCCCTCACAATTGTTGCTATGCTAGAGCCCATCGCTGCAGCTACTGTGTCAATCCATCTTGATGAGAGTCTTCCTCTTTTCACTGACCCTGTACGTTACCAAGCATGTTGTCCTTCTCCAGGGACTGGTCCTTCTTGGTAACATGTCTTAAGTATGTGAGATGAAGATTCGCCATCAACACTTCTAAGGAGCATTCTGGCTATACTTCTAAGCAGATATGTCTGTTCTTTTGGCAGTCCACAGTATAATCAATATTCTTCACTAACACCACAATTGAAGTGCATCAATTCTTCTTTGACCTTCCTTATTCATTGTCCAGCTTTGACATGCATATGAGGTAATTGAAAATACCATGGCTTGGGTCAGGCATACCTTTGTCCTCAAAATGACATCTTACTTAGGTCTTTAACATTTTAAAGAGATCTTTTGCAGGACATTTACCTAATGTAATATATATCATTTGATTTCTTGATTGCTGCTTACATGGGTATTGATTGTGGATCCAAGGAAAGTGAAAGTATTTCCTCCATTTATCATGATGATGCTTATTGGTCCAGTTGTGAGGATTTTTGTTTTTTTATGTTGAGGTGTAATTCATACTGAAGGTTTAATCTTTGATCTTCATTAATAAGTGCTTCAAGTCCTCTTCACTTTCAGCAAAATTGTGTCATATGCATATCACGGGTTGTTAATGAGTCTTCCTCCAGCACTGATTCCTCATTCTTCTTCATATAGTCCAGCTTCTCAAATTATTTGCTCAGCATACAGATTGAATAAGTATGGTGAAAGGATACAACACTGGCACACAACTTTTCTGATTTTAAATCATGGAGTATCCCCTTCTTCTGTTTGAATGACTGTCTATTGGTCTGTGGATCGGTTCTTCATGAGCATACTTAAATGTTCTGGAATTCCCATTCTTTGCAGTGTTATCCATAATTTGTTATGATCCATACAGTTGAATACCTTTGCATAGTCCATAAGACACAGGTAAATATCATTCTGGTATTCTCTGCTTTCAACCAAGATCCATCTGATGTCAGCAATGTTATCCCTCATTCCATGTTCCCTTCTCAATCTAGCTCAAATTTCTGGAAGTTCCCTGTCTATGTACTGCTATGTACTGTTTTTTAATTATCTTCAGCAAAATTTTACTTTCATGTGATAATAATGATATTGCTCTATATATTCTTCATTCACCTTTCTTTGGAATGGGCACAAATATGGATCTCTTCCAGTCAGTTGGCCATTTAGCTGTCTTACAAATTTCTTGGCACAGATGAGTGAGCACCTCCAACACTACATTCATTGTTGAAACATATAAGTTGGTATTCTGTCCATTCCTGGAGCCTTGTCACTAATGTCTTCAGTACAGCTTGGACTTCTTCATACCATTGGTTCCGGATCTTATGCTACCTCCTGAAATGGTTAAACATTTATCTCTTTTTTTGGTACTCTGACTCTTTATATTCCTTCCATCTTTCCTTGAATCTTCTTGCATCGTTCAGTATCTTGCTCACAGTTTTGCTCTTCAGTATTGCAACTCAAGGCTTGAATTTTTCTTCAGTTCTTCCAGCTTGAGATATGCCAAGTATGTTTTCTTACTCCAGGTCTTTGTACTTTTTTTTTTGTTTGTTTCTTTTAAAATTTTTATTGTGATTTGGGTGAAAATTTATAGAGCAAATTCACTTTCCATACAGCAGCTTATATACACTTTGTGTCATAACATTGACTGTAATTTCCCACAGTGCAACAGTTCCCCTCCCACTTCCTCCACAATGTTACCTCTTCCCTGTGTCCTTCCTTCTCATGCACTCCTGCCCCCCCCCCAGCTGTCTCCCTGTGCATAAACAGCCCTTCTATTCTCTCATGATTGATCTTTTCAAGGAGTGTATCAACCTAATGTAAATGTTTAGCTCATATGCTTGTCTTTTATTTTGGTTGGAGGTCACAGGTGTGGGTTCAATTCCAGACTTGAAGGGCAGCTAGGGGCCATAGTGTTAGTGGTTCCATCACGCTCTATCAAACCAGCAAAACTGGTCCCCCCCTCCCCTTTTTTAATGGTTTTGAGTTTTGTTCCACATTGTTCTCCCACTCTATTCAGGATCTCCTACATAGATTCCCCCTCTGAATGGTTGACAGTGGTGGACGGGCACCATCTAGTTCTTCTGGTCTCATAGTCATACAGGCTGAGGATCACATGGTGTACCAGTCCCTTGGATTAATTGTTTCCATGTATCTTTGCTCTTCTTCATTCTTCTTTGTTCTGGGTGAGGAGAGAGTCATCATTGCATCTAGATGTCTGCTTGCAAGCTTTTAAGATCCCATTTGCTACTCACCAAAGTAGGATGTGGAACAATGTTTTTGTGTAGTATGTTATGCTAGTTAAACTTGATGTCACCTGTGAGTATGGTCCCGAGCCCTCAGGTCCAACTATTTGCTCTCTCTGGCTGTGGCCAAGAAATGACTAAAACCTTGTCCTTTGTCAGCTCTACCATATACCTGAGAATTCTTACAGAACATATAAATACACTTGTAGAAATATTGTCTGCCAACGCCATACATGGTCTTTGGGCACATTCCCCCCTGCATAGACATACCTAATCATTCAACCTGTCCACCCATCTATCCACCCATAGAGAAATGTTTGCCTTCACTGACAGTGCAGTACTGTATGTGCAAAAGAGTTCATCTTTGTTGTCTGTACCTTCCATGCACCTCTCTATGTCTTCCTCTTCCTCAGTGCCACCGTGTTGATCACTCATGTTTGGTACAATGCCCTTCTCTTCACCCAAATCAATACTTGTCTTTACCTATCTAACACTGTTCCCTCCTCTCCCCTCCTACCCCTGGGAACCAACAAAGAAAATTTCCTTCCATATATAAACCTTTCCTTGACTTTTTATAATAATGGACTAATACAATATTTGTCCTTCTGTGATTTACTTATTTCACTCAGTATAATGTCCTCCAAGTTGATCCATGTTATGCGGTGTTTTGCAGATTCTACGTTATTCTTTAGGGTTGCATAGCATTCCATTGTGTGTATGTACCATAGTTTGGTTATCCACTCTTCTTTTGATGAGCACCTAGGTTGTTTCCATCTTTTGGCTATTATGCATAGTGCTGTGATGAACATAGGTATGCATATATCTGTTCTTGTCCTGTCTCTCACTTCTTTAGTATATATACTTAGTAGTGGAGTGTCTGGGTCAAGTGGTATTTCTAATTTCAACTTTTTAAGGAATTGCCATACTGCTTTTCACAGTTGTTGTATCATTTGACAGTCCCATCAGCAGTGTATGAGAATGCTAATCTCGCCACATCCTTGCCAGCATTTGTTATTTTCTGTCTTGTTGAACTTTCCTACTTGTGCTGGGGCAAGATGGTATCTCATTGTTGTTTTGATTTGCATCTCTCTAATAGCTAATGATTGTGAGCATTTTTTCATATGTTTGTTGGCTGCCTGAATATCCTCCTTGGTGAAGTGTCTATTCATGTCTTCTGCCCATTTTTTAATTGGATTATTTGTCTTTTTGTTGTTGAGGTGTTGGAGGTCTTTGTACATTCAATATAATACTTTACTTTGTCTTCTTGACCCCTTTGAAATCTTCTTTTCAACTCTTTTATTTCATTTCTTGCATTCACTTTCACTTCTTTATGTTGTAGAGCATGTTTCAGAGTCTCTTCTGACATCTATTTTGGTCTTTCCTCTATTTCCTGTCTTTTTAATAACCTTTTTCTTTCTTCACATATGATGCCCTTGATGGCATACCACAAGTCATCTGGTATTCAATGCAGCATCAGTATCCACAAACACAAAGAGATAGGAAAGAAAAATCATTATCTTTAAGAGAGAATACTATATATACATTACAAATCTTATTGCAAATGATATTTAATGATGTGAAAATATTAATGATATGATATTCAGGGGAAAAAGGTTAGAAACCAATCTAAAAAAACCAAACTCACTGCCGTCGAGTCAGTTTCAACTCAGAGACCCCTCCTTGGGTTTCCAAGGCAGTTTCTCTATGGAAGTAGATTGCCCAGTCTTCCTTCTGAGGAATGGCTGGTGGGTTTGAACCGTCAGCCTTCTGGTTAGCAGGCAAATACCTTAGCCACCAGAGCTCTAGACGCTGTTTTTTAAAAAAAGAAAAAGAAAAAAATTACAAATTTATGTTTAGACATTATTTTCTCTCCAGTGTTGATCAAAGTTTAATATATGGTAATGTAGCACAACACACTGCTGTGGAGTCAGATCCAACTCACAGCGACCTCTCCTTATGTTTCTGAGGTGGTATCACTAGATACTAGTGTTGGGTTCCCCTTCACCAGG